CACCATCCCCACCATTATCTTCCTGATGGTTATTTGCGTCCGGCAGATTGTCTTTCTTATCTGGACTATTTCCTCTGCAGGCTGAAAAAATTTCACAATGGTTATAATTGATCGAAAGAAGGAATGCTTCATTGACAAATCAGTTGATAGATAAAACCCAAGAATCAACACTTTGCACTCAGTTACAACATGCTCGAGGAAAAAGGTAGTTTCTCAAATAAGGGGTCCAAGAGAGGACAACTTTGATCTTGTCTAGAATGCACATGGTTAATATGGTATACCTTGCTCCTCCGCGTAACGTTTAAGCAGCTCCTCAATAGGTAGATCCATTTCCTTTTGCAGGGCATCGAGTTCCTCTTCTCTTTCTTCCCTTGTTATAAGAGCTTCATCTTCCTCAATTGTATGCTCATCATCTTCCTAAATCAGTGTCAGCATTCACCGCGTGGGGAAATATTATATGATATTAGTAAATTTGCTGCAAGGATTACTAATCATGTTAAAAGAACTGATTGTCAGAAATAAATTGAGATTAAGCAACTTACTAAGTCATCCTCAGACATCAAATCATAGTCATCATCTATATCAGGGACAACAGGTTGAGACCCTGTCACAATTTACATGCAGTGAGAGGCGTGAAAGAGAGCAACCCAAGGGTAAGAAAACAAAATAACATAAATAAACTATTCATCAACTTGCCAAAATTTCCTTGGGTTCTTCTGTTTTCATCATCTTGAGTTCCTTCACTGCATTGTCTTTGCAAGTATTCTTGACAGGAGGATTTGTTAATATCTTTGCACTGTGTTGGTGAGCTAACAAGGTTTTCTGCCAGCATTGTTGAGTACCTATGATCGGAAATCATCATTGAGAAAAACTCATCATGTTGGTCTTGATACATAAAACTAAATAAGTTTACAGTCTACACCAAGACAAAATTACTGAAAGAATTGTACCTCTCAGTTTGCCCAAGAAGAAACTCAAGCTGTTTATCAAGTGTTCTCTTCTTCTTCTCATCTAGCTCTAACTGATGCTTGTAAAGAACCTGAAAGAATAAATCATAAGTGAGATTGATTTTAGAGGTAAGATGAGGCTGTAATTTTGTTGTGAGGGATCCCTCAGGAGTGTAGTTACCAGCTTCTCAATTTTCATCCAGAATTTTTTTACATCCTTGGCTATATTTAGAGCAATTTTCTTCAAGCATTGTTCTCCTTCCTGATGGATGTATAAGAACAAATACACAAGAGTTTACAGTGCAACTAGAATAGAAGCAACCTTGCCTCAGTTATCAAGGCATCATATTTTCTCAAGAAAATGGATTCATACCTTCACTCTTTTTTCTCCCCTTGATGCCTGATCCGCACATTTGCTTGCTCTTATTGCAACCTTCTTTGCTTGAGTTAATTTCCATTTTCTCTCAGACTCAAAGTCCTGTCATAATCAAAGAAAAAGTAAGCATATCTTTGTTCATAGTATCAAATTATTGCTCCTGCTGAAGGCAAGGAAAGTGTCTATTACCTTTGACAGCCATACCATCTCCTCAAGAACATGATCCCAGTGCGTTTTAGGGCGTGGAGGTTCTTTTGGAGGTTCAAGTGCCTAGTAATATGAATAATAAACAACAGACATTTATCAAACGATAATAGTTTCTTAAACTTCAATGCATGACTATCCCGGGGTTTTCAGAACACTGTATGAAATATATCTATTCTCATTCCAACACTCTTCTTCTTTTCCTTTTGGTTTTTGTATCGATCCCAACTTCCCCTAAAGGTCACCCATATGTTCTATGAAAGTGACATTGGATCTATAAAATAAACAAAACCAGGTTTTTAGGCCTAGTTTACACTTCATCAACCACTAATTAATATTTAAAAGAAGCAAATCATATTTTAATACTATGTTTCACAAAGCCTTCTACTAGCTGTGTGTATGGTTGATAGCTACACAAGAAATTGGTGTATAACAACCATTAAAAAGATAGTGTAAGCATAAGAATGACATATTCTTCAGCAGAATTTAAAATCAAGATCTTGATACAAACACACACACCTTTTGTCGCCTCGAACGTGTCTCATTGTCAGGTTTACTCTTTGATCCTTTAGAAGACATGACAATAAGCTATCTATGACATGGCTACAACATCTGCATAAATAGAAGGGAAATAAAGAACTGCATTACTGATGCATGAACATGTGATGCAAAACAATTTTTCTAAATCATAAAAACACGAAAAATTTTAAGAAGAATGGTATTAGAAAAAATCTATCAAAAGTGGTAGATATTAAAATGGCACTCAGACATGAGAAGAAACTTGGAAAGAATATTCAAAAAGACATCATTGCATGTACAATAATGAGAAACAAAGATCAACTGTACGAGGATGTGAATGAACAAAAACAAAACTTGTAGCACAGACAAAGCCATAAGTAACAGCCTCTCAAAATTCAAAAAGTGATGGATAAAAAATGTATCTGATAGATTGCCCCTCACAATCAGAAATTAAGAGCCATTTGTAAGAAAGATGAAAAGGGCATGTAGCATCCTCCATAATCCATTTTCGGTAAGCCATACATTATTTCAATCCTTCAATTACCCTCCCAAATGGTTTGAGACCTTTGGGAATCTACTTCACAACAAAGCCCATTAAATCATTGGTACACTTTTACAGTCTCCTCTTCCTGAAATCCAACTTCAAGGTCATTCCTACAGTTTCCAAGAAACTTGGTTCATCTGATACCATCCGGGCAAATCAAGTGGATTGCCCTTGCAATTAAATACAAGTAGCTAGCATCAAATGCAAACGTGTCACCATTTCCAATGCCTCTTTTCTACCTTTCCGATTACTTACTACTGTGTGGATGCAAATGCAACCCATCATTACTTTTATTTAGTTTCAATTTAAGTTATAGCCCCCTTGAGAATAACTATGAGCTCATTGATAGTGTTAAGATTTCCCAAATGGAATCGTTGCTCTGTTTTCCCTATGCCCTAGTAAGCTCAATTAAGATCCCTTGATACTCATAAGATTTAACCTTCCAAGAAATAAGCTTTCCACACTCTTTTACTCAGTCCTATAAGTTCCATGTTCCTTTAGCAGCTCAAAAGCTGTGAATGATGTTCTGATCATAAATATCACTTCAACTAGCTCGCAATAAACAAAAAACACGTTTAACTAGAATTTACATGGTTTTAAGCTGAGATTCGCCTCCACGCGATCTACGCAGCACGGCCGCGCCAAACCTCGGGAGAAATAGCGCGGCGGAGACAGGGACAATCGGACACGTGTAGGACACTCCACGTGGAGTGCTGTTGAGGGGACAGGAGGTCAAAATGCCTCAGAAACGGCCAGGAGACGCCGGAATTCCACGGGGATACGCACGGAGAAGGGGTTTTTGCGGTGAGTTTGCTGGGTTTTAGTGCTGCCGGAGAGAGGAGCGGGGGACGATGGAGGCGACGGAGATGAGAAGCTCCGGAAAAAGACAGATGGGCTTAAACTCTCAGATGTTTGGATCTGTTGGGGCTTTGGGGCGTAGGGTTCCCCTTTTTTTTCTTTTTTCTTTTTTTTTTTACTTTCGGAAATGTTGTTTTGAGAGTATTTGGCTTTTATTTTCCATTTGCAACTTGAAACAAAAAAAGTTTTTTTAAAAAAAACATTAAATAAAAAAATAAATCAGATTAATTTATTTTCCAAAAACCTAAAAAAATAAATTACAATCTGCACCATAAAAAAATACCAACACATTAATGTTATTTTAAAAAAATGTCTTCATTGAAATTATTTAATCTTGAGTTAATCTCAAAAATGAAAATTAAACATTATCCTTAAATACTCCAATACTTTTTCAAAACAAAAAAGGCTAAAACATGAAATATGTGTTTGATGACAACATCTTCATCCCTTTAAAAAAACTACCTTACGAAAATATTCATTTAGTATTTTCAAAGTTAACTTGCAATATAAAATAATAATTTATTGAAAGCGTCATTAAATATTTTATTTTTTAAAAAAAGATAAATCCTAGCTAGAGTCACAAATACTCGGTATCTTGGGCACGAACTTAGTATTTCTAGATTTTTTCAAGCGAATAAAAAGATTCTATATAATGTTGAAACAAAAAGTTAAATATACAAATGGTAGATTTATGTAGTTTGTGTTTAAACTAGTTGTGACTCTAACATTACTCAAAGAAAGTGTTTCTTTATGCTAATATTTATTGACTTATTGGTAATAAACAATTTTTGAGTCATTTACCAGTTATAAGTCAAATATATTTTTTTGTGGAAGTATAATGACTTAAATGATAGAAAAGTCATTTATAAATATTCATAAATGGTGAGAACGATTTTGTAAATAATATGGTTAAAACGGGGAAACGAAAAAATTGGAAGCTAAAACCTATTTATTTTCTGGTTTATAAGCAATTTATAAGTCAGTTTAATAGTACACAGAAACACGTCATCAGCTAATTTTTAAATTAAAAATTGTTTATAAACAGTTTTGACCAACTTATAAGCACAAAGAAGCACCTACTAAATTTTACAGAGTATTATAAATATAAGTTCACACTTACTTCATCTATAAAAAAAAATTCTTACGTTCTTTTTTTGGCCGTCCTAAATAAATTTGTTGGTCTACATTAATTTCTTTATTTCTAAATAAATTTTAATTAAACTATTTTTTACTTCTTCCGTCTTATAATATTTTTCAAAAATGAAAAAAAACACACCACAAAAAGAAGTATTTTTGATACTCTATTGGTATTATTTTCTAATTATTTCGTATAGTTTTTTTTTTGAAAAATATTTCGTATAGTTTATTTATCCTACATCATTATGTAGTACGAAGTACTCCGTATATGATAAAAATAAATTAAAAAATAATATTAAAATTACACATTTTTAAAATATTTTTTTTATTTTTGAATTTTTGTTTGGGGATGAGGAAGTTTTTTTTCTTTCTAGCATTTTCCTTTCTAAAATCCATGGAATCGTTACTGATAACGCTAAATAAGCCAAAAATCAGAGCCAGATTTTCATCACGAAATCTCCGTTCCACCGATTCCAATTCAACCCGAAAACCTCTGCTCCAATTTTGAATTCGAATTGCCATACAAAAACCCTAAGTTCATACTTCATACCCACTTATCATACGTCTGGCTACGATCAATCTGATTTCAGTTTCAATTTCTGGGTGAATTTTCGTCTTCTCCGTCGAAATATGAAAGCTTCGATCAAGTTCCGCGAGGATCAGAAGCCATTGCTGAGAGCCAAGGTCCCTATCAGCATCCTGAGCTTCCCTTTCCAATCGGGGATCGCCGCCGGCGACTCCAAGGAACTCTCTCTCAGCCTCCGCACTTTCTTCAACGCCGGCCCCTCTCTCAGGTTCTCTTACCGCCCTAATGATTCGCAGAAGCCGTTTAGTTTTGTTCTGAAAACCGGTATCGGCCACTTCGGGTCTCCCGATTCGAGCCCGTTCACAATGAGTGCCGAGTTCAATCTGATCGGGAATCAAAACCCTAGTTTCTTCGTTCACTTCAAGCCTCGGTTTGGGGATTTCTGCGTTAAGAAGTCACACTCCTCTTCGGATCTCGTGAAGAGTTTCAGCTCAGATTCCAAATTGAACGGCGCGGCCGGCGACCTTTTGGGGACAAAGGTATTAGGGGATCACGCCAACTTTTTCGACCCGAAATTTAGGGTTCCCACCCCTGAATCTGCTGTGAATGGGGTGGTTGAGAAGCTATTCTCGGGCGCAACGGTGAGCGCGAGGACTTCACTTCCATTGAAAAGCCGGGCAGTTGTGAGCTTCTGCTGGGGACTGAGGTTTCCATTGGAGTCCAGAGAGGACGACGGTGTCCTAGTGGGGAAGAAGACAGACCGTATGGCCAACATATCTTTCAGGAATCTCCCGTTGCTCGTGATGAACAAAATCTGCATCGAACACGTGGCTGCCAAGGACAACTCAAAGAAGGGTCCTGCAGGCAATGCAGATGTTGGAGAAGAACCCGGTTTGAAATTGCAGAGACAGCTAGAACTTATCCAAGCAGAGATTGGGCTTCTGAGGAATGCTCAGAATGATTTCAGAGCAGAAATAGTGGACTCCGAAAGGAGAGGATCCAAATTTTACCCCGGTGCCCGAGGGAGCCAACCAGACAAGAAACAATCCGATGCGAGTGGGTTGAAAGAGAAGACCTCAGATGATTTGAATGGGAAGTTGAAGAAGGCCATATAAGCCAGCAATGGGAAATAGAAGGGTTTTGGCTTTTGTTCAGTCCATTCTTCAATTTGCTGCCATTAGTGAGTTTATTATAGCTTTTAGGCACAATTCTTGTTTCCTTTTATATCTAAAAAATATTTCTTTTCGTTTACATTTGGAGTGTATTTACTCTTCCATGACTTGTCTTAGCGGCCTTGAATCGAAATAAAACTATTTATCAAAGGAAAACAATACAAAGTGTAGAGCTCAACACAAACTCGCATATCGTTTGACAACAACTTTAGTTTTTAGCTTGAACGTTTTGAGAATGTTATCTAATCTTATCTTTAATGTGTACCATTTAACATTTTAATGTGTACCATTAAAAAAGTATCCAAAACGTTAACGCTAATTGAAATCTTGTTCCCAAACAAGGCCAGTGTGGCTCTAAGTGGGGAAGAACTCACTTTTGGACAACTTCTCAAGTGGAATTTTAGATTCTTTTATCTTCCCCTAGAGGCCATATATACTTAAAATAGACAACAAGAAATGCTTCCTGCAAATTTGAAAGTGTTAATGTGGTTGCTACGAATCTCACACCAATTTTTACACGACATATCGTCAACTTCGATTGTTTTCATTCAAAACTGATTGTATAATTTTTTTTATACTTTGTATCAATTCACCCTTTTAAAATTCATTGACAATCCGACATTGTTTCATGATTCATTTAATAAATCAAAATCAATGTAACAAAAATGTTCTAAAAAGTGTAAAAATATACTTCTAAGTAACACAGTTCAAGACAAAACAAAACAAGTCGAATAATTGTAAAGTTTTACAAGAACAATTTATGTGTTAGTAACTTTCAAATTTATTTTAAATGAAGATAATATGAATGGTGGACATAACCAGCATAACAAAAGGTGTGAAAAGAGTGATTGTAAAATCAGTCTCCACCGTATAAAAAAAATCAAATTTTAATCTAGTTTGATCAATAGAATGAAATGAAATCTGTCTTTAGAGTATGATTCTTATTTTTATATCAAAGTTCCCAAAAGTTAAAATGGGCATTGCCTTGGCCCAAATACTCTGCATTGACTATGCTATGACTTTTGACAAAATGGTTACTCCGAATTATACTCTGTGCAAAATAAAGTTCCAATTTGGATTTATAATATTCAACTAACGTTATTTTCTAATTTAATTTATTTTTAACATTGGAAAACAATTAAAAAAATACGAGTAAAAGTTTTCATTTTTAAACACTACCAAAATTTGACTTCATCCGTCCCAATTTATAGTGCATGTTTACTATTCACATGGTCAAACTTCATTCACTTTCTTTTTCTATTTTCATTAGCAATTTGATAAAATAAAGTACTCGATACTATTATCACTATTAGTTTTGTAAATTTTTTGATGTAGTATTTTAATATGTAATTTTTATTTTTTAACTCTATATCATTTGTCATATAAAATGATTTGAAAATAATTTCAGTCAAATATCGTAAACTGAAACAGGCACTATAAATTGGGACGAAGGTACAAAGCAAGAAACGATTAATAAAAAAAGTGTAAAAAAAAAAGAAATAGTGAGTATTTCTCTATGCTGGTGCTGGCTTATTACTTATAAACAATTTTTAATTTATAAGTCGTTTATAAGTTAAAAAAAATTGTGTAGAAAATATGAATTAAATAATATATAAGTCATTTGGGGATATTCCTAACAAGGGAGGAATACTTTTGTAACCCAATTAAAACAGAGAAATGAAAAAGCTAGCCTAAAAATAAGTAAGTAAAACATACTTATTTTTAGTGAACACATAGAAAAAACAACTACATAATTTGGTTTTAGTGAACGAGAACCTTATTTTGATAGGAGTATTCATTAATCAGGAACTTCTACCATTATTGTACCCGGAGTAGATGATCATGATACTTCTGAAAAGAATCCATAGATCATAACTTAAGTCCACACAACATGCCTATCCATAATAGACCATTCTACAGAAAATAAAACCAATTTGCAGCTAAAAACTTATTTTGGCCATCAAAACTGTCAAATGGAAATCAAGGAGAAGCAGCAGCAGCTTGTTGTTTAGCAGTCTCATAGCTCTGGTCCTTTGGGATGTCAAGACCCTTAAAGACTGGGCTGTCGACGCCAACTCCCATAGCATTAAGGCCATTATCGACATAAACAACCGACCCTGTTATGGCTGAAGCCAGCGGCGATGCCAGGAAAGCCGCTACATTCCCCACTTCCTCTGTGACACCAAAGAGACACAATATTCAGTCTTTGTTTTTTTAGAAATCGAGAAAGGGCAAGAGCAAGCAAGTCCTCTTGGTCAAATGGATGAAGGACCAACTTAGAGAGATTCTGGGGTCAAACCTTCCAAAGGAAGCATGGGAAGGGAGTTAAAAAAAGGGGGGATAGTTTGGGGTATAAAGAATCAAAGGTTTAAGTGGGGTTTATGATCAACGAGGTTAATGTGCCTCGGCTTCAGGGTTGTAGCAGGCTATTATTCTGGTTGTACTTTCTAAAAAAACGTAGAACGGGTAATTAAGAAAAAATGCACGCAAGGAGTAATTGGGGGGTGGGGGCTTTGCTTATGCTCACCTGCGGACAACTCCTTTTGCAGAGGAGCATTCTCAGAAGAGTAATCAATCATCATATCAATAAATCCAATAGCTTTAGCAGCACGACTTCTCAGTGGACCTATCACGGTTTCACTTTCAATCAGTATTAGGAGTAACTGAAAGTATCAAGTGGAGCTAAGGATTGCAAAACAAACTTAATCTGAAGAGGTGAATGGATAACTGGATCATACCTGCAGAAATTGTGTTGACTCTGACCCTGTGCTTCCTTCCCGCCTCGAAAGCCAATACCTTTATGGTGGAAATAACCCCATTATAAGCAAACCTCACATTTGAGGTTGATGCAGAAAGTGAAACGAGTCTAAGAAAGAACGTACCCTGGTGTCACTCTCTAAAGCAGCTTTTGCTGAGCTCATGCCACCACCATATCTGCAGTGTTTACAGAGAGCAATAATATCAACCTCTATACTCTTGGGAAATAGAACATTTTGCCCCACTCAGACCTTACTTATGAGACGAATATACGGGATTTTGTTTGGTGCGGTTTGATAACATACTTCCTCCGTCCCAAATTAAAGTTCCCAAATTAAAGTTCACGTTTGCATTTTCACTGACTTAAAGAAAATGTAACATTGTGTGTTTGAGATTTATGCAAAGGAAAGAAATAATGTGAACCTTTCAATGCTTAAAAAAAATGATAGCCTTATTTTGGGATAGAGGGAGTAGTATAAAACGCTAGTGAACTGAAAGACTGAGATTATTATAAAAAAAACATTCCACTTTTTGCTCCACAACTTTCTTTTTTTCTAGTTGTGATCCTTCCTTCCATTTACCCAGGCAATTTATCATGTTGGCTGGATAAATGACCTAAAGAGAGCAAAAAATGGCAAGAAACTCACATTTGTGCAACACAATGGTGGCAGGGACTACAACAACAACAACAACAACCCAGTTAAATCCCACAAGAGTAGGGTCTGGGGAGGGTGTGTGTACGCAGACCTTACCCCTACTCGAAAGTAGAGAGGCTGTTTCCAAAGAGACCCCCGGCTCAACGTCAAGAGTTGCATTGCTTGACTAACTGCTACTTCATTAATTAAAGAAGCGCAGACAATTTAGAGATCCATTTTGATTTATTCCATCATACCCCAAAGCCAAAAATGGTGAAATTTTGGCTTTGGGGTATGATGGAATAAATCAAAATGGATCTCTAAATTACAAAAAGTTAAAATGACAAAATGGTCAGGGGACAAGAATGGATAGCTTTTCTTTTTAAAAAGGCTTACCCAGGAATTATCCTTTCCGAAGCAATGTACGTTAAAGAGATTGAAGCACCACCTAAAATGTAAAGAGAACTTCAGTTTTGCAGAAGGCTTGAACAATAAAAGCATGGATCTATCTTACATATTACTCCGTAGCATATAATATTAGTGGGAAAAACAAACGAGAAAAAAGTCTACCTGGATTTATAATGGGAATAAAATGCTTCAGTAAGGATATATACGAATAACTTGATGCAGACAATGCAGCAAGGTATCCATATCTTGATGTTTCAAGTAGTGGTTTGGTAACCTGTGCAGAAATTTATAATAATGATGCATTATTATCAGGTTCGAGACAACACTGCTAATGATACTGTAATTAAACCATAAACATACCTCCGGACCATTAGCAAGGGAATGCACAAGAATGTCAATAGTGCCAAAATCCTGTTTCACACACTCTGCAACTTCCTACAAGGAACATATGGATTTGTATTTAAAACATATACAGTTAGTGCACTTGGCCTAAAATTGTGAAGTGCAGCACCTTGAAGTTATATACTCTGTAAGAAGTTCATAATTACTAAAGTGGTGGTGATGTGAAAGTTGATCTTTTAATGATGAAGGTGGACCCAACATAACAGCAACATTATCAATTACATAATCTAAATAACAAACCATGTTTCATTGAGGGATAAATCTTCCTGTGGAGTGGGAAAAAGGGAATATACTGGGACCAAAATGCCTGGGTAACAACTTACTATTGACTTTTTTTCATATTGAAAGTGAAGATATTGTAGCCTTTAATTCCTTGTACAGTTTTCTTTTTCTTAACATCTTGTACGAAACACCAAAACACGTACTACTAGTATCATCTTTCTTAGTGAATAGATACTACTTTCCCTCCAGAATGCAATATGATAGAGGCATGCATTGTGTATCACAGACACAGTTGCAAAAAAGATCCATAAATATGATACCTTAACAGTCCAATTTGAGGACCCTGCATAACGCTTGTTGGATTTCACCTGATACCACATATATGTTTAAGTTAAGAGGTTTCAATATCATGTTTATATGTTCAGTAAAAAAACAGATGATGAGACAGTTTACATCTTCCGGAACATCATCAGGGTTGTCATAAACAGCATCTAGTGGGTACACTTTTTTTATTTCCATCAATGAACCATCTGGCAAGCTGAAAAACAGTATATATATACATGGATATCATCATCTAAAAACTAACTATACTAAGGGTGAAGAACAATTCTGCCCTTACACTCTTGATTCATCAAATTTTCCGCGTCGCAGGCTGCTCTCAAAAATATTTAGAGCCTAAATAAAGAGAAAAATTATGAGAAATAATTATACACAGCCAGAGGATAAC